TCTTCCGATCTTGGGAGTTGAAGTCCACTCATCTTAAAGTGGCCAAGTTTGGACAACACTGAAATAGGCCTTCATCATTGCTCTTAACTGAGATGTAGATTCCCAACCCCCCTCTGAAATGAAAAGCGATATAGCTTGCATACTGCAGACGTTTTTAAAAAACAATGAATGGAAAACTCAGCGTAGGATGAATATGTACCCTGAGTGGTGTATATCTCATTGGATGTTTCTACTATGACATTTTGAATAATCCTATGGCTTACAGAAAACTATGAAGTAGATCTGAATTTTTTAGAAGCAGTAGAACAGGAAAAGCACCACGTATCGAGTTGCATGGGAACACAGCAAAATACACAGGTATGGCTAGAATTTACACAATATAAGATGTATATAATGTAAATCAAAGGAAACTTATAAGCTTGAGATTCAGGTGTGGAAAAATTTTGGCCTCCCTGTTTTTAAAAAATAATCTGAATAATTTTAGCACATGCATGCTAAGTACTTTCTGGGGATAGAAGATTTAAGGACCAAAAGTGACACAGAATGCCTTGCTTTTTAGATAAAGTTAATTTTCAGATGTTTGTAGAAAATGCTTTAAAAATTATTTATGAAAGGTGGCCGTAAGTTTCCTGTTACTGATCACTAGCAAAAATGCATTCCCAGTGAAACCCTGATTTAACAGACATTTTGCAGAAAAGGACGTGCGTCGCACCCGAATGTCTGATAAATTCCATTTGCATAATTATGCAGATGAGGTAATTTATTTTATCAGTGTCTGTTGCATGAATCAACTGGAGTCCTCTGGATACAACAGGTCTGGTCTATGATTTGGGGGCTATGTCTAGATATAAATTTTGTTCACTGCATCTGAAGTCTGTTAAATGTGAAGTCTTTTGAACCAAAGGCTCACTTGTAATTGCATTTACACAGCTGCTTGAATCTTATAAAGCATGAAATAAAATACATGCATACCTTGGCAGCATCTGACACGGTGTCCCAATTGCCTCCACTTAAAGAAAATTTTCCACTACCTATTCGTAACAAGATTTCTTCAGGGGTATCATTGGGACCGTTGGCAAAAGGTGTGTATCTAAAAAATAACAAAAGAACATTAGTTTCTGTGACATCAGTAGTTAAGAAACATAAATGGAACTTGCTTATTTAGGATGGGTTCCATACACTGGGTTGATCCTATAAAATAAGTGAAAGCGTCATGGCTTTAAATATCTGCAAAGTTCAAAGCTATGTCTGCATGAGAAAGGGACCTCTCACCCTGCCAGCATTGTATAAAGGAGAACACCCAAGCTCCAAATATCACAAGCAGCATCGTAGCCTTGCCTCATGAGAACCTAGAAGATAAACAAAAACTCTATTTTATTGTTAGAAAGACAAGGCCCCGCCATACTCAGATTTAGAAGTAAATTTAAATCAGTGTTTTTCAACCTTGGACACTTTAAGATGGGTAGACCTCAACTTGCAGAATTCCCCCCCCCCCCACGCTGGGGTTGGGGGAGTTTGTTGTTTATTGACAGACACATTTATTGGTGGGCGGGGGGGAAAAAAAAAAAA